TTGGCTCTTGAATAACATGGGTTTGAACTGCATGGGTCCACTTATATGATTTTTTCCAACCAAATTATTCATCTAGGCATGGTGGCCCATGCTTGTAATGCCAAGAGGATTGCTTGAGGCCAGTAGCTCGAGACCAGCCTGAGCAACATAGCCAGACCCCTATCTCTAAAAAGAAAAAAAAAATGAAAAAAATTAGCAAGCTGTAGTGGCACATGCCTGTAGTCCCAGCTATCTGAAGGCTGAAGCGAGAGGATCCCTAAACCCATGAATTCGAGGCTGCAGTGAGCTATGATCATACCACTGCATTCCAGCGTGGGCAACAGAGCAAGACCCCCTTCTCTAAAAAAGAAAATGCAGTATTTGTGGGATGCAAACCCCACGTGGGAGGGGGCCACTGTGAGACTTGAGTATGTGTAGGTTTTTGGTATATGTGGGGTGGAGGGGTAAGAGGTGAGGGGTGGCAGAGTGTCCTGGAACCAATCCCCTGCCTTTACTGAGGGATGACTGTAATTCTCTTTATATTTGACTTACCTGAGTTAGGTTCAAGCTCTTTCTTGAGTCTGCTGTTGTTCCCCCTACCCTTGGAGGTTTCAGATTGCCTCCATCGTGTATATAGATAAAACGAGAGTCCTTCTACATCGTATTTTGCCAGGTCTACCCTCTCCTGTGTTAAAATTTTCTTCCCAATAGAATTAAGCTCTGAAACTTTATCTTCTTTTACTTGCTCTGTGTGTTTGTGTACTTGTAATCACATTTTACAGTTCTAAAACTCAAAATGGACTTTGCCCACGAGTTTCATCATTAATCGACATTCCTTGAAGAAAGACAGAAATGATGTGGTATGTTTTCCAGACTTTCCAGCAGCTCAATGGCCTCCCCGAAGAAGAAGCTCCAGGGTCTTGTTGCTGCAGCCATCACGCCAATGACTGAGAATGGGTAACTATCATCTGGGGCCATGAAGGGGTCTGTTCTCATTCAACCGAAAAGGACAGAAGTTCTCTGTAGTGACAGTCACTTAAGACTCTGCACCCCTGTGGTACCGTTGCCAAGTGGCAGCTTCTGTCAGTCATCCTTCTGAACTGTCTCTGACCCCCCCAAGTCAGAGGAGGGACTGTATCTCCGACCCCCAAGTCAGAGAAGCGCTGTGTCACAGAGCAGAAAGGGAGGAGGTGGGAAATGGCAGCTGCCTTTCTCCCAGTGTCTGTAGCTTCACAAAGCAAATTCACCACAGCCCTGGCTTCCCCAGAGGTGGCCCATAGAAGTGGATGAGGAGAATCCCATTTTAGCATGATTTGATACTGAGCACTGTCCTGGTCCCTCTCAGGATCCTACCCCTAGACGTCTGCA